TCCTCCTCCTCCTCCTCCTCCTCCTCCTCCTCCTCGGACCGAGCCTTCTTGAGGACCACCTGCGGCGCCGCCTCAGCGCGCCGTGCAGCCCGCAGCCCCAGGGCGCGCGGGCGCCGTCGCGCCTCGGTCAGCCCGGCGCCGGCGCCGACCAGCGCCACGGCGGGCGAGGGTCAAGTCGGGCACGTCCCTCTACAGGAGGAGTATTCAAAAATAGTCAAACAGTACTTTTGGGACGTTTCCCCCCCCCAAAAAAAACACTAATTTTGATTATTGCCGTTCTTGCTGGGGCTATTTGAAACTTGCCGTCCGAGATCCGCCTGTAGGAGGACGCGCCCGACCTCAGGCGAGAGCGCGAGAGCCCGCAGGCCGGCGGGCGGATCCGCCGCGGGGTGGCAGCCGCGGCCGCTGCAGCAGCCGCGGAGCAGCAGCGCGGCCAGGGCAGCGGCGCGGGCGGGCCGGGGGCGGCGCATCTGTGCTCTCCCCAGACCTCCTCGCGTTTTCAACCGACCACGGCGGGAGGCGCTTCGCTATTTTGTCGGCCGCTGGGTGCCCTTCCCGGGCCTCGGGACCGTCAGAAAACGACTCAGGATGAAAACCCCGTCCCCGGTAAAGGGTCCAGACCTCTGGGGGTCGACGTTGCGAAAAAATCACGACGTCGGGGGTCTGGGTCTCCCCGGGCGAGGCGGGGTGGAGTCGGCGGCCGTGCCGACGAGGCGGAGCCAAGACGGCCACGGAGGGAGCTGGGCCCGCTGAGGGATTACTGGCTGCACCGCTGTGGCTGGACTGCGGACTGCATTGCGCTGCCACCCCCCCTGCACCCCCGACCTTCCCGGGACGAGGGGGGCATATCCTGATACGTGTTGGCGCGCAAATGGTGCAAACTTTAGGTCGGGCGTCCTCCTACAGGCGGATTTGGGACGAAAAATAAGCAATAGTCACTCGGCGAGGCGAGCCCGTGACTCGGACGCAGCGGGCGAGGACGTAGGCGGTAGAGTGCAGGAGATTTCCGAACATCGGAGCTCCGTCGAAGTATGTGGCGACCCAACCTTTCGTGTCTTACGAGGTTGAGGCGCGGTCGGAGGAACTGGCCCGCGACTCTTCGGCGGAGGGCCCGATGGAGCTGAGACTAAAGCCATGCCGCATGGAGCTGGGTTATCAGAAGAATCGTTGTTCAGAGGTTGCGTGGCCAAATACATGCGGAGTTAAACTTGAGCCCGCGAAATGGTGACGGAACTTACTCCAGATTTCGTAATAAAAGGGAGGGGGTCTGGACCCTCCAAGACAAGCCATTTCAGACCTCCCCCGTGGGAGAACCCTCCAAAACATCGTCCCCAGGGCCCTCCAAGATAGCCTGGACGAGACCCCCCCCGAAATGAGACCCCCCTCCCTTGATTACGAAGTCTGGAGTAGCCCACACTCATCCGTGTAAGCGCGGGAGCTGTGCGGGGAGAGAGGGCGCAGCCCCCTGACGGCCTCTCGGCGTCTGGCCCCGAACACGGTGCTCAAAAGCCGCCTGCGCTTCTGTGTGCTGCCATGCCACCCTCCACCAAGAACGATGGGCCACAGAGCATGGGACCGGGCGGGCGAATGAAACAGATGACGGGAAAGAGGTTTGGGAGGGAGGGGGGGCAATGTGGCCAATGAAAGAGAGGAGGAGGAGGAGGAGGAGGAGGAGGAGGAGGAGGAGGACCATCACAGGCTAATGAGGAAGGCTAGGGTTAGGCCGACCCGACCCTAACCGAAACCTTAAGGTTACATCCGCTCTCCACTTACGCACCCATTCGACCCTGCGTAGCCGCCCCTTCCTTGAGGAGCTGGGCTGCAGGGAATGGCAGGGAAAGTCGGGGGCGGGAGAAGGAGGAGGAGGAGGAGGAGGAGGAGGAGGAGGAGGAGGAGAGTGAAGGCCACAGGCAAACCTGGAGACGCCGAAGACCAATCGATGCTGCGACAAATGAGCCCAGAATCGAAGGGCATTTCATGTCACGACGGATGCCCCCCTGATGGCATCGCGGTGAGGATTACGATAACCCTTGGTTTTTGAAGACTGGCGGGGGGAGGAGGGAAGGAGGGGGGGGGGAAGGGCAGACAGAAGGAAAGGCGAACACGTAGGATCCAAGAGGGTGCATGGAAGGTTGACGAGACGTGTATTGATTGTGCATTCTCTGGCATCGCCAAGAGCTGGGCCGTTGAGTGCTGACGGGTTGGCGTCCGAATGAGGCCACGAGCCGCGAATGGCTTAGACTGCACTCTGCGGCTTCGGGTCGAGGCGCACTCCCGCGCGCACAGAAGGAGCGCTGTCGGCTCTCCAGGGCCCCCTCGGTTGTCCAAGCACTTGCCACGAATGGCTGAAATTGCTCTCGATGGCATTGCGTGGGGCGCGTACCGCCGGGCCCATGTATGTACTTTGTGGTTGGCTCGCCCATGCACGTTCAAACCGCGAGCGAACTTCTCGATAGTTCGTCGCTGCTCCGCACGCTCTGCACGAATGGCTTCAATTGCACTCGACATATCAAGTGCGACGCTCACGCTTGAGCAAGTATAGAACGCAACTAGAACCGCGCGCGCGCGCTTCGCGCGCGCTTAGGTTCCAGCGAGCTCCAGTTGCAGTCTAAACTGTTGAGCATTGGAGGATCATGAACACGACCGCTGTGGCGAAACCGCTGCGAAGGGTTCCAGGCCCCACCGCGTCGGGCATCCATGAAATTCCACGCGGCAGAGGAGCTGTTGCGGGCGCGGTGGACGAGTTCCACTCGGCATGCAACGCGACAAAGTATGTTCGTTGTCGACACCACGGTGGACGTGTTCCACTCGGCGTGCAACAAGGAAAAATACAGCTGGCCGCAGGTCTAAAAAGGATTCCGCATGATCCCACTTCAGCTGGCTACATACCCTTTCTATCATTTCCAGACGGGCGCCTCGAGAAAATATATGGAGCTATCCGGACTCCGTATTGGGCCGTGTGGGGTGCATCTCTGGGCCATCGTGGGCTCTCTAATTGGAGGAACGGTCTACATGCACATTAGCATCGCGATGCAACGCGGCGGAAGAAATAATGTACACGACCACTTGACCTCCGAAAATCATGAACACGACCGCTGTGGCGAAACCGCTGCGAAGGGTTCCAGGCTCCACCGCGTCGGGATTCCATGAAAACCCACGCGACAGAGGAGCTGTTGCGGGCGCAGTGGACGAGTTCCACTCGGCATGCAACGCGACAAAGTATATTCGTTGTCGACACCACGGTGGACGTGTTCCACTCGGCGTGCAACAAGGAAAAATACAGCTGGCCGCAGGTCTAAAAAGGATTCCGCATGATCCCACTTCAGCTGGCTACATACCCTTTCTATCATTTCCAGACGGGCGCCTCGAGAAAATATATGGAGCTATCTGGACTCCGTATTGGGCCGTGTGGGGTGCATCTCGGGGCCATCGCGGGCTCTCTAATTGGAGGAAAGGTCTACATGCACATTAGCATCGCAATGCAACATGGCGGAAGAAATAATGTACACGACCACTTAACCCGACAATCATGAACACGACCGCTGTGGCGGAACCGCTGCGAAGGGTTCCAGGATCCACCGCGTCGGGCATCCATGAAATCGGTCATGCGAACATCCATCTAGCAGGCTTCACGATCGCCTGGCCGAGGAGAGACCCTGTCGGGCTCTGGCGCCTCCAAGCCTCGCCCTTGGAACGCACTGGCGAGTGCTGACAGCTTCGGCCTGCTGCTCACTGCCAGCCTGCCTGGTGATTTTGAACCTGGTGGCCGGCCCCCAATGTCAGCAAGAAACTCACGAGAATAAGCGACATGAAGTTGCGCATGCATGCAGGCGTGCGCCCACACGTGTTCCGCCACGAACGCTTTCCATCGCACCTGGATCGATGACACAAATCGTTCGGCTTAGACACTTCTCGGAGTTCCCAAGCGCATGCTCCGTCATACTCCCAGCGGAAGTCTTCGCATGCATCACTAAATGCCGTCGGGGTGGCCTGCCAGCTGGCAATCACGCCTGGTCTTCATATTCACCGTGCTCTCAAAGAGATTCATCACGACACCCGCGTCGCCGTTGTGGGTGAATGTTGTGGATTCGAAGCATTGCCTGAACCCGTCCACTGTGTTCGCCTGCTGGACATAAGCCTCTCTGCAGAGCCTCTTCACTGAGACATGAATTTCCTCGTTGCAGATAATACCAAAGCTCAGTGCTAGGCAAAACTCGAGGTAGCACCACCCTCGATCTATGTACGACCTCTCTGAAAGTCCCTCCATGGGAAGCACGACGACAGGTACGCTGCTGGTGGAGTACACCATCGACATGGAACCAAGAGCGTTATGGAATGTTGCATCTTCTTCCGCTGAACGCACGGCCAGATGCATACCAGGCGCGGGCCACGAGCCTTCCTCCTCCAACCGCTGCAACTCGGCATCTGCGCCGTCGTGCTGGGGCATGCTCAAATAATCCCTGAAGACGCCGTCTTGGTCGGCGGCGCCCATGGCGTCGAGCTGCTCGACGAGGCATCAAAGCGTACTGCCATCGGGATCGGGGTGATGCTTCGACAACCACGGGTACGACACTACGAAAAGGCTCTTCTTATGGGTCCGGAGCGCCGGGAACCCGGCGCTCCCGCTGATCACCCCGTCCAGTGGGGCGCTTTGACACCGAACCACGGTGGACCCAGCAGCGGAGAGTCGACGCAGGTAGCCGCACTTGATCCATTTGATCTGCGCATCGTCTACATAGTCAAGGAACTGGAGGTAGAAGTCCTGCAGCTGGTCGTCGCTGGAAGCGTTGATCGCGGCGAATGCTGTTTGCGACATGACCTGTAGCCGAGCTGATGATCCGACTAAAGCCACAACCGTCAGCGCCACATAAGCACCAGCATGCCTCTGCGACCTGCTGGTGGATCGTACCGCGAATGCTGCGCTTGCCGCAATGGCGCGCAGCCCGACAAAATTCACGATCGCGAGAAGGACGTGCCCGGTCATCTCCATGGACCTCGCGAACATATTGCGCTCGAAGTGGCTGGGCATGGGGTAATACACATTAGCAATAGACCATTCATTATATAGACTGCACATTTCATTATATGGACTGACCATGCGTGGCCCAGCTGCTGTACCGTAACCATGAATAAGATGTACAGAATCACCTTACCAAAAGTGCACATCGTGCCCTTCACAATGCCACTAACGGCCCCTGCAGGAGTCTCTGGTAGGCATGTGTACAGCGGAAGCGTGCAGATACCTAATACCGCGGTAGAACCCGCCAATATTCCATATCGCCACGACCAGAGATGCAGCACGGCGTTGCTGAAACGATGTCGCTGGTGAACGCACCATGCAAAGACCGCGACGTTGGGTGAGAGGCTGCAAGCCACCAACATATGGGAAATCCACACGGAGCGCAACTCATCATTGCTCCCGCATTGGTAGCTCGCAAGAAGGGTGACGACGAACGAAGTGGTCAAAAAAAAACGACGGCGACCCTAGAGAGCATCGCGAAACTTGGGTAGGCACTCGTGCGATGAGAAATGCGTCCGTTTGGCGACAACACGAATCAGCGCGAGGAAGCCGCGCGCGCCCTTGAGCCAAAATGGCTTTTTGCACGACGTAGTGCGAGGCCCGAGTGGACTCCTGAAGGCACGGCCCGAATGGCCAACAAACAAAACCAATGATCGCAGAAGCCACATGCAACTGCCACCCTTGCGACGTACGTCCCGAGCGGACGTGGCCCGAACGTCCCACTGGGCGGGGGCGTGACTCCCTGAGCCATTGAGGGTGCGCAAGTTCACCCTCCAGGCCGCCTGCGCCACAAAAGGGACCACAACTCGTCCCGAAGCGTACGAAGCTGCAGATCTCGGAAGATTCGGAAAGCTTCGCCCTCCTGCGATGCTATCCTACAGCTTCTGGAGCCTGCTCCACACACCAGGGCCCCACAAGCCTCGAACATCTCCCTCAGGCTGGAGCCCAACACGCGGAAAAGTCCTCGACGACGACCAAGATGGCCTCAAAACTGCCGAGAGGAAGCCCCAAGACGCAAGAATCGTCCCGCCCACTCGGATTGGTTTGAAAGCATATTCGCATGTTTGGTCTTTGCAGCGTCCATTACAGCAGAAGAGGTTCCCAAGATGGCTCCGAGACGGCCCAGGCAGCCCCCAGGAGGGCCCCCAAACAGACGAATAGGCGCGCAAGATTGTCCAAGAGAGCCCCAGCCGGGCCCGAAGAGAAAACCAAGAGAGGTAACTCGAACTAGCCTTCCGAGCCCTCCACCCCAAGAGGACCCCCCCACACCGCCAGCGACACCCAAAAAACTCACCAGAAACCCAGACTCGCCCAGGACGTCAACCGGAGGCCCCAAAAGGCCTCAACCGTTGATTTCGTGCTGCTTCTGGGGGTAGGCGGCATGGCGCAAGCCTCTTGAATAAAGCGTCAAGCGAGAATGTTTTTTTTGGTTTTCCCGGATAGCGGCCATCACCGGCCCCGCCCCCCCCCCCGAAGTGACGTCTCGTTCCGCGCCGGCGGCGTCCGGGAATGTCTAGGGACGACCGAAGCCAAATCGGAGCAGCATGTAGGTGGCGATCTGCACCACAGCGCCCGTGTACACCACAGTGCTCGAGTACACTTCGGCGCGCGTGCACACCACAGCGTCTGCGTACACCGCAACAGCCGTGTGCAACGCAGCGCCTGTGTACACGACAGTGTTTGCGTGCACCACAGCGCCTGTGTACAGCACAACGAATGTGTACACCGCAGCAGCCGTCTACAACACAGAGAGCTTGTGTACACCACAATGCTTGCGTGCCCCGCAGCGCCTGTGCGCACCACAGCGCCTGCGTACACCACAGCATCCGCGTGCAACACAGCACTGGTATACACACCGCAGCGCCTGCGTGCACAGGACAGGTAAAGAGCACGTGGGCGAGGATCTGCTGAGGACAGCTGCAGTCGAAATCTATAGTATGGACGGGCGGCACGGATGCCTGGGCGGCGAGTTGCCACCGCCCGTAAGGGCTGAGGCAAGGACGCAGAGGTACCCGAAGGACATCCGTGCAACCTAACTATCAGCTTTGATTGTAAACGCCACGCAAGGAGAGTGCTGAAAATAGAATGCAATTTCTGATCTCGTCGCGCCCTCTGCAATGCCTCCGCAGGTCTCGAGCCTGATAGGCCTAACTAACTGGTCAGGCCGTTACATACAAAATTGAAAAGACGGCAAGCAAAGGCTGCAACACGCAACGGACATGTCACGAACTACGGCCCGCAAGTGCGGGGGGAGAAGGAGGAGGAAGAGGACGACGAGGAGGACAGAGGGACAATGGGAGGAGGTGGACAGAGGTGGAAGGGCTCGGGAGAACGAGGGAAGGAGGTAGGATAAGCGCGGAGCGATGCATTTCGTCATAAGGATCCTGTTTGAAACTCTATATACAACAATGGTGTTAGGTTACACACAGTTGCTGCGGTGCACACAAGCGCCGTGATGTACACAGGCGCTGTGGTGCACGCAGGCACTTGGTGTATACTGATGCTGTGTTGCACACGGCGGATGTGGTCTACGCAAGCGCCGTAGTGTACGCAACCGCTGTGGTGCACGCGGGCACTGTGGCACACACTGGCGTTGTGTTGCACGCGGTTGCTGCGGTGTACATCGGCGGCGTGGTGTACACAGGCGTTGTGGTTCACGCAAGCACTGTTGTGTACACAGGCGTTGTGGTGCAGGTCGCCACCTACATGCTGCTGCTACCCGTCCTCTGTCATTCGTAAGCATTCACAGACGCCGCCAGCGCGAAACGTGACGTCATCAGCCCCCTGCCCCCCCCCCCGATGACGGCCGCTATCGGCCCTGAGTACAAAAACCAGGCTCCAACTGCACCGCGCGCACCACATGGACGACGTGCTCCAGGCAAGTCGGATGCACCAGCTGCGCCGCGTGCGCGGGGCGCGCAGAATGCGCCCGCTGCGCCAGCGCAAGCGTGACCGCACACATCGGGCGACGCGTCGGCGCCCCCGCCATACCTATCAGAGGCCGCGCAACGTGTACAAGCTGCTAGACTGGCACAATCCAGGTGGTGACAAGCGCCCAGGCGCGTCGCGCCCCTTCGATTGGTGTGACGCGCCCCCTCGTAAGCGCCGCAGCGAAGCAGAGCCCGACTGGGCTGGGCCCTCCGCGGCGCGGCGCCGCATGTGTGGTTCGCGAAACCACCGCGGCGCGCGGCGAGGGAGCAGCGCTCGGGCATGACACCCGTGGACGCAGCTCACCGCCACACCCAACGCGCGCAGGAAGGCGCGCGAGGAGTGGGTGGGTGGGAGAAACAGAACTGCAGCGGGCCTGCCCGTCCTGCAGGTAGACGTTTGGCGGGGTGCAAATGGGGGGATAAGTCCAGATGGGAAGAGAGGCGCAACCGAGGTACAAATTGCACCTACGCCCCACGGAGAAGGTACAATTTGTACCGACGCCGCGCAGACAAGGTACAAATTGTATTTTTGACAACGTCCGCGACATGTGCGAGGATGTTAACGGGGGGGGGAGAAGGTACAATTCGCACTTGCAACCCGCAGAGAAGGTACAAATTGTACCCCAACAAAACGGCACCGGATACTCATCCCCCCAAGTCCTGACCCCCCCATCGCCATGCGGCCGAGACGTGGCAACCTGCGCGGCGACGCGGCGCGCGCATGCCCCCGTGGGGCCGCGCGCGCACCTGCGTCGATCGCCTGCGCAGCGAGGGCAAGCGCGCGCGCAAGGACCCGTCCCGCGCGCGCGCCTGCTAGAGCCACGTGTACCTGCGGGGCGCGCACCGCGCGCGCACGCCTGTTGGCCGCGCGCGTCCTCCCGCTGCACCCCCCTGGATTGTGCCCACGAACAAGCTCGCTTGCGCGTCCACAAAATGCGGACTGCAGAGGTCGCGAAAGATGCGCAGCGAGGTTCCCGTTAAGCCCCGTGGCCCCGGCACTGTGTTGCAGGGACCAGCCCAGGGACTCTCCGGTCACTCAGGGAGGCGACGGGAAAGGGCTTTCGGAGGACGTGGTGGGTGAGACCGCGACTCTCTGGTTCCTCCATCCTCCCTCTTAATCTTATCATCGATTGAGATTCCAGCGAATACTTCCTCCAAAACCGCTCTCCGGTCGCATTCTTGAGCGACCAGAAAATTTCACTGGCGACCGGAGAATCGCGATTTCGCTTAGGACTTCCTCGGCAAAAATTTCCGGTCCCATTTCAAGCCGACCGAAAATTGCGATTTCGTGTGTGGATTTCAAAAGGAACCACTTTGAACTTTCGGAGTTGTAGTGAACACTTGGTGGTGTGCGCAACGTCGCCGTCATCTTCATGTGTGGGCCAGCGCGCAGCGGACAATATGGTCCAGCAAAACACATATGCAGAATGATGCTGATAATGACGCTGATGACGAGGTGCCCGCACATGGTTCAGCGTTTGCCGTAACATGCGCTTCGAACTCGCGCGACACTGATTGCAAGAAGGGAGCATTATGGCCCCTGGCAGACGGAAGCTCGACAAGGATGACTGCGGAGGTGGTCCCCAAGAAAGAGACGCGATGATGGCGGCGATGGGATGTGGGAGGGGATGTGGAAGCAGCGATGGACGTGAAAGAAAAAGGGCGGGAGGGAGGGAAGAGGGGACGGAGGGATGCCAGGGAGGGACCCGGGCATCCGCCGTCGCGTCTCTGGTCGCAACGTGGACCCGTGGAGGCCTCGACCCACTCCTGGGGGCCGGCCTGTGGCAGCGGGAGGAGAGCGGTCGCGCGCGCGCGGGCCCCCTGCTGATTCCTCCCCTTCCCTCTGTCCTGCTGCTGCTCCTGCGCCCCTCCTCTCTCCGCTGCCGGCCCTCCGTCCCCTTCATCCCCGGCTGGCCCCCGCCTCCTTCCGCGGGCCTTCCCTGCGGGAGGCTGGGAGCGAGGGCGCCCGGGAGGGGACGGGAGGCCTCCCGCCTCGTCCTGCCGCGCGGCTCTGAGGCGGCGGCGCTGTCCGTGGGGGTGCTGCACATGCCGAACCTTGGCCGCCGATCCCCCCCCCGCCCCAGCCCCCCACATCCTTCAGCCGGTCCTGTTCTCACGCCGCCAAGTCCAACGGGAGGAGGAGGAGGAGGAGGAGGAGGAGGAGGAGGAGGAGCACGAGAAAGAGGAGGACGAGGAGGACAACGAGGAGGAGGAGGAGGCGGAGGAGGGGGAAGGACGAGGAGGAGGAGGAGGACGAGGAGGAGAAGGAGGAGGGAGGAGGAGGAGGAGGACGACGACGACGAGAAGGAGGAGGAGAAGGGAGGAGGGAGGGAGGGAGGGAGGAGGGAGCAGGGCGGAAGAGAAACGAGGGATGAAAGGGGGGGAGGAGGAGGAGGAGGAGGAGGAGGAGGAGGAGGAGGAGGAGGAGGAGGAGGAGACTTGAGAAGTACATGTAAGGGGTGGATGTGAAAGATGGGGCAGTCCTGTACAGCAAATGCAAAGCAACTATTATGGTGAGTATTCTAGCGGGCGCTTGGAAATATCCTGATGCAAACGGCAGCGGGTGGCAGACACCATTATCACAGGCAGGGATGAGATAAGCCAAACAGGATCGATGCAATTCAAGCCTGGTGTTCAAACAAGTCCATCGCGCTTTCGCCGGCCGCAAAAAGCTACAGAAAGTGCTGTTCCGACCGCGCTCTGGAAAACACCATGCCTGAAGTGGGCGCTCTGCTGACCGCGCCCAACAGACGACTGGTGGAACACAGGCAAAAGTCCTGCTGCTCAACTGACGCAGTCAGCTGGAGCAGCAGCCAAGCGAATATTCAACTTCCACGTAATCCCTGGCCGCGGTTGCCCGCGAAACTTGGTGGTCTTGTGGCTGCTGGGTAGGTCGCCCCGTGTACCGATGAGCGGAATTACATGGGCCTTGTGACAGTCACACAAGTCACCACTTCACTGCTTGGTGCGGGAACTGTGCTGAGAGCTCGGGACGGCCTTCTTCCTCATTTCGTCACTGGGCTTGACCGCGTCGTGGTCGTAGCTGCTCTGGCCGCTCATCACGTTGAGGACGAGTTCTTGGCCAAAGCTGCCCTCGGTCATGGGGTCGGCCCACATGTCCCGAGTGTTGCACCAAAGTAGGTCCTAGCTGTGCTCGGTGCGCAGCTGGTCGGCTAAGCATCGCACGTGTCCTGCCACGCTGTTTTCGGACGGCGACCGCACCGGGTCCATGGGTAGGGCGCTGGAGACGACATGCCGTCGATGACGACATCTGCTGGAATAGCGAAATCTCCATCCTCCCTCAGCACCCTGATCTCCTTGGCAGAGGCGGGGCCGTGCACCATCGCGCGCAGCGCGAGAGGTGTGCCTGCAGTCCGTCCTCCTCCTCATCATCATCAGCATCACCATCATCATCATTATCATCATCATCATCATCAGCATCATCATACAGATCATCATCATCATCATCATCATCAGCATCATCATCAACATCATCATCATCAGCATCATCATCATCATCATCATCATCATCGTCCTCGTCGTAATCATCACCATCATACTCAGAATCACCCGCATGATCATCATCATCACCATCATGATCGTCTGCACCATCAGCAGCATCATGATTATCATCATCGTCATCATCGTCATCATCGTCACCAAGGTCAGCAGCATCGTCAGCAACCTCATCATCAGCATCATCAGCATCATCATCCTCATCATCGTCATCGTTATCAGCGTCATCAGCATCATCGGTCTCATCCTCGTCAGCATCATCAGCATGATCATCATCAGCAGCATCATCATCACCATCATCATCATCAGCAGCAACAGCATCATGATCACATAATCATCCACATCGTGTTCCTCATCGTCATCAGCAGCATCATCCTCATCACCACCATCAGCACCAGCATAAATATCACCGTCAGCATCATCAGCATCAGCATCATCAGCAGCAGCATCATCATCACCATCATCATCAGCAGCATCGTCATCATCGTCATCAGCAACATGATCATCATCACCATCATCATCAGCAAAATCATCATAATAATCATCATCATCAGGAGTGTCATCATCGTCATCGTCATCATCATCAACAGT